CTTGTAGTAACAGGATGTTCAGGACCATTTTACATTTGTAACTAGTGTATCTGAAGGATAGTAATGCTGCGGCATATTCTGTTGATAGTGACGTAATTTACGCAATGATTGAGAGAGAGAGAGAGAGAGAGAGGGGGGGGCTGGGGAGAGTGTTACCTTGTAGTAACAGGATGTTCAGGACCATTTTACATTTGTAACTAGTGTATCTGAAGGATAGTAATGCTGCGGCATATTCTGTTGATAGTGACGTAATTTACGCAATGATTCATCTACCTGCGTGTTCCAAGACTTACATTGAGAAACATTGCTCTGTCTGCGGGGGAGAAAGTATACTTAAAAACAGAGAAAAAAGCACACGCACAGAAGAAAATATTGCCTTTTGTAACACAATCTCATTTGGTTTTGCCAAACCTCAACAACATACAAATGGGGAAGTAACATCTTAAAACTAACCCTTAAAATTACGTGGTAAAGGAAAGTAATTAATAGATATCGTAAAAAGAGCTTAATTTTGAGGGCAGAAGATTTAAAAGCTAGCGAATGGCAGGAGTCGCACGGGCCCTATGAACACCATCGGTCAGCTGCCTTTTGCTTTTCGGCTTACCGGTTCGTCAATTTACGCAAGGTAGAGTTACTCAATGATCACGTGACTCCTTTCATTGCTCTAATTTAACTGTCCTTCATTCAGCGATCAAGATACTAGATTTGCCATACAATACTCGCGATTTGTTAATTTGCCTTTACGTAGGTAAACAGATTTACAAGACGATTGAGTACATCTAGGAAATGTTGTTACAGTTGTAACGCTATGTAAGACAATACACTAAATACAACAACCGTGGCGCAGTACACTGGTTAAAAGCTGCAATGCATTCTGGTAAAAAAGTGATGAATTCGAGAATTCGCATCCCCTCTTCACTTTTCAAATCCTGATTGCTGCGCAGCGAGCGCAGCAACAATGTTTTACATGTAACAGACAGGATACATAAAGTTTGTTTCTCTATATATTTACTAGTTCTTGCCCAATGCAAGGAGCTGGGACTGAACGATGACGAGGCCCTCACACCACCTCCAAAACGACGTAGATGTAGACGTCAAGGTATAGCTTTGGAGGAGAAGATTTCTGTGTCACAGGATCCGCAAGGAAGCTATACTGGAAAGGTTTGCACAAGCGTATCACAGGAAACTCAAGGGAGCCCCTTTGGTGTGGTAAACACAGCTGTACCACAGCATTCTAGCGAGAGCTCTTCTGGTAAAGTCGACACCTCTGTTTCACAGCACACCCAAGGAAAATCCTCTAACGAGGTTAAGATAAGTGTGTCACAGCACACCCACACTAACGAACACGAGTCCATAAAAGAAGGAAATCACATGATTCTTCCAAAATTTGAAGATAACCAAGCGAGAACTACGAAATTTTGCGAGAATTCATGGTGTCCTTCAGAAACTGAAAAGGAAGCTGGGGATGAAAACCGAACAGATTGTCGAGTATCTGAAGTTTTGAGCAATACAGTTCTTTTGGAACAAACCTGTCATAGTCAAAACTTTCGTGGTGGTATTGCTTCTCATACAATTGACCACAAACCTATTGCCGACATGAGGACAATATCGAGTATTTCAGTCTCGGATGAAGAGTTTTCAGAGTCGAATCAAAAATATAGTCAGGGTTCAATGGGTGGGGAGCCAAGATTGAAAGCAGACTTTGATGTTCCACCCTCCCCGGGGCATGTAAAACCACTCCCTGACAAGCTGTCTGCAATTCATAAACTGCTAAGAAGTGATGAATCAATATCGATTACAAATATGCTCAAATTTTGAGACGGAAGTACTTAAACCTCATCAACGACTATTTCTTTTTCTTTGTTTAATTTTCTTTTTTCTCAAGCTTCGGTAGCTGTTGCGACGGGCGTAGCTTGATTTTTACCCGTCGGAGGGTGGGTAAGTGTCTGCTATTCATGTGCTTTTCTGCAGTATTTCAGGGCAAACTTAACCTTTTGAAGTTAAGTTTTTCAAGCTAAACCAGAAAATTAAGTTGTGTGCAGACGGTTCATTTAAGAAAACCAACCAAAATGTGGAAAGCCTGCTTGTCTACGTACAAATGAAGCCACATTCTGAGTTAATGGAAGTTTAAATGGAATTTGTGTAGAAGAAATTGCATCAATATTGCAAAGATATTTCTCGTTGCCATTTTTTTGTTATAGACAAGCGACACTTATCCATTGTTCGTGAGAGCAAAACGGAACTATTACCAATTCTGTAATAACGACAATAAGGATTAAAAAACTACCGCGATAAGCTTTCTTATTAGCCTGGGTTAGTCACCCATTTTTCTTCCTTCCCCATCGAGTTGCTTGACAGCATAAACGAATAGGTGATTTTTCATTATCCGTCCTTAGGGTAGCCACGCAACACATTATTTTTCCATTTTGTGCGTTGCACAAATAATGCCACAGCTGTTGTCAAAGGAGATTGTTTAATATGATATTTATTAGGAATTTATCAATACTTCATTTTAACATCGTTTTAATTTATATCAATGTAACATAATTTTTGAGATATTTATGAAATCATAGAGATGTTGTTATATGATCATAGCACTTGGCTTTGCCAAATTAATAATCTTGATGAAAATGACTATTAGATTTTTACAAATATTTTATCCAAGTAGGAGTTATAATGCCTACTCAGGTATCAATTGAATTGGTTTCGGAGATACTCTCTACACTTTGCAGATCAATCTTAGTATCTGAGCAACTACTTACCCACCCCTCCCTAACCCAACAAACAAATTGGGGTTAATGTGAGGTCAGGGGAGGGGTAAGTGCGCAGTTGCTCAGATACTGAGTGCTATTGACCACTTTCATAAATGGCTGTTGGATTAATTTTCTTTTGTTTAAATTTAAATTAGCCTTTCTGGCCTCGCTTGAGATAATGTATTCTTTTGAATTTTGTACTGGAGAACGAGGCCAGAAAGGCTAATTTAAATTTAAACAAAAGAATATTAATCTGGAAGCCATTTATGAAAGTGGTCTATAGTGGTCCATTCCTCAATTCACATATAGGCCCTATGTAAACGTGTTCAGTGCAAGACAAGTATTTCATAATTCAATTTATGTAATATTTTTATGTTATTGAAAATAGTATAAGTTCGGGAAAACTTATTTGCACCCGTAAGGTTTGATTATTTAATTTATACCAATACACTTTATTTTAGCTTATTATGACGACGTTGCATAGATTTACTGACATTCCATATTTATGAAAATGTATGTAGATTGTTTCTAATACATTGCATATTGAATATTTATCTATCAATAGTATCATCATTTTTGTCGTTTTCATTTTTGTCGTTTTCGTTATTATTTGCAAGGAAGTTCAACATGTGTTATTTAAGATGCGTTCCCTAATAGCGCCGAAGTACATTCTGTGAAACCGTCACGCGATAAACTGTAAACAAGATTCGTGGAAAGTCGGGAAAGTGGCTGACTTCTATTTATTTTTTCCCAAGAACAACAAAACCTTTTTCTGCTCATGTCTCCACTTTCGATCATTAAACATCGAAAACTATGTAGATAAGGTGACAGAAGGTTGTTACAGTTGACAAGTTCCAAAGAAAATGACTCTTCACGTGTCTCCAAAGGTAACGTCTCCGTTTGCGTCACAAGTTACGTTACCTGGAAGTGTCCGGAGCTAAATTTCCTAAGTGTTTCCAATCTGCGTTTTCAAAATACATTCTTTTCGAGTACTTTCCTCCTCACGTTCATTAGAAAGATACTAGATGACACAAGAAAACAATTTTCCGTTCATTCAAATATGTTTTCGTTGCAAAAATCAAAATCTCAACTTAAATCTCTCCGGAATATATCAGTACATTAGAGGGAGAGAATTGTAGCCACGAGTACCCATTCGCCACCTTGTTTATTTTGTTTGTTTTGTTTGTTTGTTTGTTTTTTTTCTTTGTTTTTTTTTTTCACTTTCTACAACCTTTGTTTTGCAGGGAGACAAAGATGGGGCAGTGGGGGTGGGGGGAGATCGAGAAACTTAAAAATGCAAACATAAGAGAAGAAGGGTAAACTAGTTAGAAAGAGGTGGGATCCCTTGGGTATGCTATACCAGGACCTGGAAATTAAAAGGTCCCTCTGCTACCCCCCTGCTCTACTTTCTACCGGAAATTTCCTTGTACTCAAGATTAGAAAGGCACTCCCCCTTAAGCAACCCGACATTGCGCTACTTAAAAATACCAAGAATGAAAAAAACTTCACAGCTCTAAATCTTCTAGCAGACAAAAGAATCCAATTCCACTTGCATTTCTATGAGGTAAACATTTATTAGGTAAAAAAAAGCTTTATTGATAACCTCATTAACAAAAAATATGTCTATATAGTAGGTTGATATTATAAACATCCAGCATCATCTGGGAGAAAAAAAGACGGGAGGATCTACGGTACAGAAAAAATTAAACCTCTCCTTTTAGCAATTAAGAGCCCTTCTCTTCCCCCGATGTACATTAATCCATTTATATTCTCTGATTTCATGATAACAATCCTCAAATCAATATCTAAAAACATAATACACTTTTTGCAGGTGATAGAATATTCACATAAATCAACGAAGGACAATATTGATTTCTCAGCATAATCAGAATTCCACATATTGAAGATTATTTATCGACATAATACTAATTGAATATTTAATCGGTAATTCTTGCCGTGGTTTGATTGTCGAGGGCTTCGAGTTTATGGTCGAAAGGCGATGAACACGAACTCGTAAAACTTTGCACGAATTGGTAAAATCTTCGCGAAAAATTCGTCAAAATCTGGTAATCGTGAATGAACAGGAAAGCTCTTAAAGAACTGATAAAGAGTTCGTAAAGTTTCGTGAATCGAAGGCGAAGACGATCAAACGAGAAATTAATGAGCAAAGCTTGAGAAACATTTCCACCTCTCCAACTTTAGACCATTTTCAACTTTCATAGGCTGGAAGCTTTTGACTTTTTATCCAACATTTTTCAGGTAGCCCAACAAGATATTCTAGCCAATAGTCTCGTCGACGATCGACGGAGTGCATCCACACTCATTTAGCGCAAGAGTTGTTATGCTCACTGTGCTCTTACTGCGCATGACGTAAATGTTGAATCGAGTTTAATTAATTCCACAGCGACTGACTTGCTCTACTACGACTATACTTTTTCAAGTCTTTCTCAATACAGTGGAATCCCGATTTCTCGAACCCTCGGTTTCTCAACCTCCCGATATCTCGAACCAAACCTTGTTTCCCTTGGATTTGCTTCACTTGTAATTTCACCCCCGATTTCTCGAACCAATTTGCGTTTCCCCTGGAGGTTCGAGAAATCGGGATTCCACTGTATATAATACTAAAAATTATATTAAATATACAATGGTAAAATATCTTTTTTCTTAGTTGCAAAATAATTCTAGAGCATTTGACATTTTCAAATTTCCTTGGCATAACGTATTTCCATTGAATAAAATGTTCTAAACATATCTCCACATTTCGTATAAGGACGTTGACATTACGCCCAACATCATTGCGCGACTTGCGAGCGTGACTTGGAGCTACCGATCTAGACGGCGTTACCTCGGTGCTTGACAACAATTATTTCATGATTGCATCGTGGTCGCTTTCTCTAGTTCTCGTATCCACCTATAATATCAAACAAAACAGGAATTATTGCAAAATAGCACAAAAACATAGAAATAACTTTTGTGTCGCAAAAGTTTTGGAGTGATGAAAGAAACTGAGCAATGAATTATTTCGATTCCAAAATAGTAGGCTCTTCATTTACCTTGTCCCAGATGTTTCGTTGTCTGCCTTGAAAACCAACGGTGAAATACCATGGTGCTTAAGTTGAAATACAAAATCATTTCCTTCCTGAAAACCAAAGAAAATGAAAAAAATATGAAAAAATGGATAGTTACATCGAAATTGATTCACAGAAGCTCGTCCACTAGAGGCCAGGTAAAGTTAGAGCGCTTTTCCAATGAGTGTCCTAAAACCAAAAACAACGGTCTTGCAGAGGAAAGGAAAATACCCTGAAGAGCCAATGAGAACTCAACGAAAGGCGACCCAACCGCCCAAAGCGCGGCAAAACGCGGGCAAACAAGTCGTCGGTCGTGATTGATGTTTCGCATCTGATTGGTTGAGAGTGTGGCGCTGGTTATTTGGTCCAATCATGGGACAAAGCTAAGCAAAATCAATGGATCCCGGATAACGTCGATACTCGAGGCTATTGAAAATTGCTATAAAGGCGTATCTCTTTAAACCCTGCGTTGAATTTTCCCTCGATTGGCTTGACTGAGGGTCAATCGCAGCTTTGGTATACTACTTCACTCACTCGAGTTGACCATTCATCTTCTCTTTGAAATTCATTTTACTTTCCGTTTGTTTAAACTCTATCCAATGTTAATATCTTTATTATTCAAAATTATCTTATAACCTTCAAATACAATATCTGGCTCAGTCAGATTTTTATAAAGACGCGAAAACACTTAATACAAATGAGTAAACGCACCTTGCCAAGATCCTCAATTTTATAACTCAAGACTGGTAAAGTTTCCAGCGCCACAACATCCTACAATCACAAGTTAATCAGAAAAACTAAATTCAGTAGTTATACAATGTAAACATACAAACAAGTTTATCAAGAGCCTTATACGAACCAAACGATTTGTTTTTTCCACTCTTTATCCTATCTGTGTTTTAGTTTTGAGTTTTTTCTCACGTTTCCTCAATCTCCTGTTTCCCGCCAAAATGTCCCCGAGTTTGACGCGGGCTACCGATTTCCCGCGCTACCAATCAGCTTCTTGTTTCCCGCCTTTTTTCCACTTTGGAGGTGAACACTTTTTTTCTTTAACTTTTTTTCCTTTGCTTACTTGTTTTTCATTTGCTCGTTTTCGCTCATGATTCAAACAGAAAATGATATTTCATTGTTTTATTGATGCAAAAGAACGGTAACTTTCTGCGGTTTTGAAACAGAATAACCATCATCAACTTACTGAGCTGGCTTTGTACGAATACAAAACGTTGTCCTTCAACACAAACCACGACTTCTTCCATCCATATCTTCCCTTCTTATACTTTAAATAACCACTCATCTGACTTCCTTCCTGATTAGCGACGACCTGTTAAGGGAAAAATTATTTCAACTAACCAATTAACATTCACTCGATCTCAATGCCTTTTCGAATGAAGTCGCTCAACACGGGCTGGCATGTTACCAAGATCTTGCAACAAGCGCGGGAAAACGAGAGTGATCGAGTCGCGCGCGATTCTGGTATTACATCTGATTGGATTAGAAAACGATTAGAGAACGACGTATAAACAGCACCAATACTGTCCTAGAGTACTTCAGACAATCACCAACCTCTGTTAAGTGCGACGGATGCATTATTGTTGATTTTCTCTTCGTTTTTCTACTCTTAAATCGTCGCATCATTTCAAACTTGGTCGGTTTTCGTAGCAGCTTCTCTGCGTTCTCTGCCTCTTGAAGTAACGGAGGAAGCGTAGCAGTTTCCTCCTCTTCTGATTTCATTTCAACAGTGTGGAAATCTGCAATGGAAAATTGGCATCGTACGCTGTCCTGAACTGAGAAAACGTTATGGCGTGTTTTTTGCCCTGGATTTCACTACAACGCGTGTTATTTAACAATTATTCCACGAGCGCGCGTTGGATATGAGATGATAGATAGCCAACGAGGCGCGTAGCGCCGAGTTGGCTATAATCATCTCATATCCAACAAGCGCGAGTGGAATAATTGTTTTATTAAAAACGTTAAATTAAATTAAGTTTTATTCAATTTTTAGCTCCCTTTTAATTTTAATCTGACACATTCGCTTGCCATATTTGTACATTACGGTATATTGGCTGATATACCATAATGGCTAAGCCAATAAAAAGTCTTGAATTGCATTATCCAATGATCTAGTTTTTAATAATATAAATTATAAAATCTAAAAAACTAATTACTAAACCGTAGTAATTAATAAGTAATTTCATCAGCAAGTTATACTGTCACTAAATTTAGAGACTGCAATGCATTCATTGAAGCAATCAATTAGTTACTAATTCAGTTAGCCAAAGAGTTAATCAGTCAGTGAGTCATGTATGATTCATTCCATGGGTTATTCAATTAGTTTATGAGCTATTTTTTCTGGTTGGTCAATTAGTCAGTTCACCAGTGAGTGAAACAGGGAACAAATCGGCAAGTCTATC